ACACAGATCCTATTTAGTTTCATTTTTTATAGTTCAAAATTTCGTTTTATTTGTCTGTACTACACTAGGATCTGGAAGAGTTGTTATATAACAGGGGTTCTGGACGGCACGGGGGATTAGCCCAGTGATTCTCAACCTTGTGCCGCGGCACACAGGTGTGTCGCGAGATCTTCCTAAGTGTGCAGCGACATTTTGAACGGCACACTAAGAAATTAGGGAATATAGGTGTGTTGGCACGACTGGTCACAGCTTAATTGGTGAATTATAACTTGATAGATAAAATTTTACTAACTATTCAATATTAACTAATAATTATATAAGCTATACACAATAGTTCAATATACATTCTTTTTACTTCAATATTTACTGATAGTTTAATATACGATACTTTGCACAGTTTAATATTTACTGACAATAACTCATTAACATGAATTTTCACTGACATTTCAATATTTACTGATAATAACTCATTTAAGATATTTACTAATAATCCGTTCGAAATATCACAAAATTAACAGTGTTCATACTTTTTTCTGCAATTAATCTTTCTCTTCAATACAATACCAGTGTAACTTTACTAATAACTGTAACTTGGTGTATATATATATATATATATATATATATATATATATATATATATCCAGAAGTATTAGCACAACCGTAAAGCAGCACTACTTTGTTTCACGGTAAACGATGAAAAGATAAAAGGTATGCCGAGACAAACTGATTTCAACACTGGTTTAATAACATTTTAAAGTACTTTTCGTCCGTCTTGGGACTATTCATAAATAATGTCTTTTGTCTTTTTTTGGTGACTATGTCTGATCGGTGACCGTTAATTCTTTCTTTGAGTGCAGTCTTTTAGAACACAATTATAATCCAAGACCTAACATATCATCTCTTCTCTACCACCCCAGACCTAGAGTGGCTACATATGTTTTGATTTTCCGCTCTTGCTACGACATAATTTGTAGTGAATTGACAGTATTATATATAAGTTTAATAATCATAAAAGCCATTGTTGGAAATTTCAATCTTGTTTTTCTAATAAGGTTCCATAACGGGTTCCATATGTTGGGTTTGTTTAATAACGTGTAGCCTACGTGCCAGAAAGTCATTTTATATAAAATAGATTAAAAAGAATAAACTGAGGGGTAAACGGCCTATGTCAGTTCAAATTATTATAAGTTTGAAAAAGGGGGAAATGGGGTTTAACATCCACTCGACACAAACTAGGTAATTTCGGGACTAACATATTGTTAAATTTTATTTCAATAATTCGCTTGCGCGTAGGGGTCTTTAGCAGTGGAAGGAAACCGGAGGACCCGGAGAAAACCCACGAGGTTGGACAGGCAACCCTACTCCTTGTCACGTACAACCGGGGATTCGAAACCACGCCAGTTGACTCAATGACAGGCCTTATGATACAGCACGCACGTGCTAACCATTCGACCATCCACCCACCCCACCCCTATAAGTTTGATAAACCCAACACGAAAATAACTTCTATGATGCAGATAGAAATTGTTAAAGATGTACAAATTGTTATAAATTATTGCACACGCATTTCATGAATGGTAGCCCCGTCCATAATATTTTTTGGATTGAAATTTCGAAAAGAATCGTATGACCTGTGGCCATTGTCGTATTCCAATTTATACAATGGCACTGATTTATGATTGTTCACTGTTATAATTTGATGATAATAATGTTGTTTTGGGTGTTTCTTTTGTAAATGTTTTGGATATTCATAAGCAAACAGTTATATCGTACTTATTCTATCTTGCCAGACATGTCAGTCAACACTTTATTAGCAGATAAGTAACTGCTGGATAATCAAGCCTACAGTGCATCACGTTAAAGTATGCGTCATTGATATTTTTCGCTAAATATCAAATTTATCAAGGTTTAATCCACGCTAATATGTACTCATATTAATTTTTTAAAATTTGATTAATAAAACAACATCAAATTATTAACTAGATAATTCCCGGCATGGATTCAATCGGATTTAAAACAGGCCTATCAATATATTTTCGCGAACAAAATAAATAATGACGACGGGCATATTACATATATGAGCAGCATAGATCGATGAAATTACAATTCCACATAATTTGTAAATACTACTACTAATAATAATAATGTATATTTATAATGCACTCAATAATCCAACCATTTACGCATATTCGAAGTGCTACATTCAAGGAGTCTCTCGTCAATTAAAACACACATAAAACTAGATAAGAGAGTTTTTAAACAAATGAGTTTTTAGCTGTGACTTAAACATTCTGAAAGTTTGAGATTCTCTAATGATTACTGGCAACTGATTCCAAATGCGAGGTGCAGCAGCACTGAAATCACAAAACTGTTTCAGTTTTGTTTCAGGAACACCAAGTACATTCTGTTATGCGATATTGGTGTATGTTTGGGTTTATAGTTTGTCAAAAGTTTAGTCAAATATATAATGGAGTGAGATCATTTTAACATTGATAAACTAATGACTAATAAATCCGGGGTTCGATCGGCAACGAGTGAAGATAAATTCATGAATAGCTGATAAAAGGTGGCTGGCCACCATACAAAGCCGTTTACTAAACGCAGGAAAAACTGGAAACCATACCAATCAAATAAAATCTGTACCGAGATCTATAATTACCTTCCGCAAAAACATCTCTATACTGGCCATGAGGTAAAACTTATAAATATTCTCATTAATTTTTGTAGAGATCATGATGTCAAATCTATATTTGTAAGAAAATGCGAAAAACCACGTGATCCCAATTGAGTATTCACCGTTGTTCATAGCTATGTTTTCTTTATTTAGTTTGAGTCTTTCTATGTGTCTATGACTAGTCTCTGTCTACAGTTGTATGCCGTCTGACTTAGCATGTTTTTATTTTGCAAAATTCAAATTCTTTTCATATAATATATTTAGCCAGGTGTGTTGCTATTTTCCCATGCATTCCAATGTATGCCGTTGGCAAAAAAAGAGCGAGAACCACTGATTTAAGGTCTTTTTTTTATCTATAGACAATCGTTTGACTATCACCTCTAGTGTAGGAGCTAGGTCAAGTTTCATCTCAAACTTGCGTAAGTTGTCCCAAACGGTTCTGGTATGGGAAAAAATCGGTTCTACCTCCTGTCAGATTTTTAGACGTAAGATTATTCTGCCAATAGAAACGATTTTTACTACACCTACACCGAAAAGAAGCATAACATCTACCGAGTAGGTGACTTTTATATACGAGTTTGCTGCTTTAATATAATGTTTTGAAGACTGTTTAGTTATAATAGAATCATTAATTGTGGTCTGACTCTAGGGCGATTAATTTAGCCAATAAGCAATAATTTATAGCATACATTTACGCCTAAAGTGATAATGCCAAGAATTTCCCATCTAAAGTTGCACTGTAATAATCAACTATCAATGCTCCATCTACTTCCCAAAGCAGAATAATTTACACGTGTTCGATTAAAAACGGCTTGAGTTGTGGGCTGCATTACCATAATGGCATTACATTGCGTCTTATCTGAAAAAACCCATTCCTCAAGATTTCTTTAGCGATTTTGTTTCTCTAGTGAGATAATTCTGATTTTTTTGGCATTCAAATTAGGTGTTCTATTAAAAATGCCTCGTGCTAGATGGTACTAGTGCCTTCTTTAATACTACGTTCTTGGAATGAAATGTTTACTTCGTATTTCGATTGAAGTAGAATTTTACGCCAACTCAATGATGCGTGACTGCTAAACCCCAGGAATGAAACACTTTAGAAATCCATATTTTGGGATCACTTACCAAGTACCTACCCACATTTGAGATGAAACCTGACCTAGCTCCCACACTACTCGCTGAAATTCAAGTATGGCGTGCAAAGATAGAAACAAATAAATACAAAAAGCAAAGAGGGCGTACACGAGTATTTCAAGGGTCTGGATCATTTATAGAATATCAATGGTCTGAACAGTCAAGACGAAGCTTCCAGTCATCGGATTGGACAAAAATTATTGACAAGTAGTCTTTAAACCACCAATAATATTGCTATATGTTGGTATAGATATGTGAGTCATAATTATTGCTAAAATTATTGAACGGTGCTTTACAGTTAGAATGGGTAGATTCCAGTATGTGTTCAGATACAGTTATTGTCCATTGGTACTTCAATGTAACAACAATGTCAGACAACAAATGAACCAAGTTTCAGTATTCATTATTTGAATCTTTAATATCTGTTATAATGTATCTTTGTATATATGTACCTATCATATTCTGTTTTTAAACATCTGATTTCTATGTACAATATAACATTTCTTATCAAATATTAATAAATAATCATTTTCATCCTAATCATGTATTATATGTTCTATATTCCACCGTAACTTTAGCCCTGGTTACTTATTCCGTTTTTGTCACCAATAGCTAGTTTATTAAAAGTACAATGTTAACTATTATCGTCGTTTGTGTTGAAATAAACTGCATCCACAAGAAAAAAAACACTAGGCATACCTACCGTTCATCTTCACGTCTCATTCATTGGCTTAACATCCATTTAATACTTGAATAACCTCCATTTCCATACTTCTTACGAAACTCCCTTTGGTATACAGCCAATTAGATATATGTCTCTATCAATCAAATTCATTCTTTTCGCCAATGACCATGATTGTTTGCTAATAAGGGGTATATATGGCAAACATCAAAAAATATATTTAGGAACTTCAAACATCGAAGTGAAATGTGCACCAAACCTGTTGCAGGCCAAAGATAATAATTTTAATACGACCCAATGTCCTCATTACAGACACACATTATGTCGTCATCTTCATGGCTACTGTGACCATTATTATTCTGTTTGGCGCATGAGGTATTGAGGCATTTGAACCAAAATATCAGAAACATTTTAAAAAACAATGTACTAAAACAAAACATACTTTATTTTCACATTATATCACATGTTAAACTCTTTCTTGTTATATAAATATACACATTATCACATAACTTCGTTTCATGGTAAACACCTTACATGTATACTGGGGGTTGGGTGTCATTGAGTCAAGTCGAATGGTTTCGATTCCTCCCACAGCTAAAGACCCCTATGCGCAAGCCAATCATTGAAATGTTAGACCCGAAATGACCTAGTTTGTGTCAAGTAGACGTTACCCCCCCCCCCTCTCTCTCTCTCGTTACATATACACATACACATGGGAACCTTTTTGTAGGGAAGATGACTTTATTCCGTTCTGTAATTGACAAGGTTAAAATATATATTCAGCGCCAGCTTTTCGAAACTATTATACAGATTTTTACATGGAATCGATTGGTTGTCATTTATCATGTAAAGCTGATATCTAAGACTTTTTGTGGACATACTTACACACTTGTCAGCTGGGCATAATTTAAAAAGAGCCAAACCAATATTATCCGTAATCTTCGATATTAGAATTGGAATTTAATAGTGTTCCATTTCAACCAATATTGATGTTGTTATCGTACCGTGAAAATATCAGTTCCCGACGGCCGACAAAAAGACTTGATGAACAATTAATTATAAAGCAAAACATATCACACCAGAATTATATAAAAATGGCTGATCCATAAAAGACTAAAAGTTAATAAACAGTGATAACAGTCATATTACATTCGTCGATTTTAAGGTTCCAGAGACTAGAGATTAGCATCTTTAAAATAACGCATCAGCCAAGGTTAGCCTAATTAGTATTTTTTCTTTTTTAAATTGCTTCGTGGGATTTACATTAATTTTGGTCATTAACAATGAAGCAATTATCAGCAGCTGTTGATTGGTAACAGAATAATCAGCAGCTGTTGATTGGTAACAGAATACACTTGGATTTGTGGTTGAAAATCTATTGGAGAATGTGAGATATGCTGTGTAATAAGACGGACCCAAGGCATCCAACGGTTTACGAGTTTAACTATCGCTGATAGCTGAGTCACACCCAATATAGCTGCCCCCATGTGCTTGACCATCGATATCTTTTTTTCGTATTATGATCTATTTCGTTATCTTTGAAGTATACTTCCAAAAGAAACCGCAGAGGTCAACACTAGCTAGGGGACCTCACATCTTTCTTTCAAAACAAAACATTTGCTTCTTCGCGAACTTTTGTGGTCGATGTGCTGTATCCATTATTTGTGGCAAAAAGTTTTTTAAGTTCTGAACGGAAAACTTTTCCGGATAAAATGTAGATGAAAAAGTTACAGGCATAATTGAGGTCAGAAACCAATGCGAACAAATCCTTATATGGCGTTATTTTCATGTAAATCACCATCGACATTGGTGATTTTGATACAATGGCAACGTGAACGATGACTGAAATGATGATTGAAGGCATTAGAGTTATGACGTAGAAAAATGAAATGGCGATCAACATGAGCGTGGCTTTGTGTCGTTTGGAGGCTGAGCGAGATGTCCTCGAAAACTTCCGGTCCTCCTTGGCTCTTAATTTCTTAACTCTGTAGATTCGGTGGAGAACTAGTCCATTACAAATCATTATGACACCGATGGGCAATCCACAAATGAGACTGAATTGATACAGGTAAATATGTAGAGAAGTATAAATATTCAGATAATCATCAGTAGCCCCACAGTTACCCATAATATTTCCTATCATAAAAAAACGAAATATTTGTGTGTATGACAGCAACATCAACAAGACTATAATAATGATCACGGCACCGGTTTGTGTGCAAAAGTACGCTTTTCGCAAAGGATAATACACGGCCACAAAACGTTCTGTTGCCATCGCAACCACAAGCCACGAAGACATCAGATAGCAAAGATGGCGATAAAAATTGTACACAGAACATCCCACGTCACTAAAATTGTCGTACAATCCTGGGTCATCTGCATATAGTCTCATGTCATGTATAAGTTTAATCTCCCTGTTTATAAGAGTCAAGGAATCGAACACAGCCAAAGCACACAGGTAATGACTGTATGATTTATGACGCCAGGCTTTAGTCTTCATGACAATAAATGATAAGCAATTTCCAGCTAGTCCAATAACCACAACAACTGGCGTCAGTATCTGTTTTATCCACCAGCCCCACTTTTCTATCGTCAGTGTTGTTTCTGTGGGCACACCTGAAAATAGTCAAAGAAAAACACATTTTTATTTTGATAATTACAGTAATCGTCACAATGAAAACCATATTCATAAACGCGAGGAAAAAGGAAATGTTGGTGTAATATGCCATATGCAACCATTACAACAGGAATGCATAATTCCGTATCTACTAGTACTGGAAATTTAACAGCCAGTGACGTCAAACATACAGTTTTTCTACTTAATTTGGATATATTTTGTACGCAGTTTCAATATTATGCCTTGAAGATAGAGTCTTTGCAGACAGACCATCAAGTAAATAACATTTTTTTTTAAAATAAAAGAGCGCGTTTAGTTTTCTCATACATTGTTCCACATGTGGGGATCATAAAGTTGGTACCCACATCACCCAGCTCAGGTGAGTTACTGCGGGGAGACATCATGTAGTTCCTAGAAACTATACATGTACATGTAGCTTATAACTTAATTCCTCAAGTGACGTGCGCCCATCACTAGTGTCATTCTAGCGTTCCTCTAATCTCAGCTGTAGAAAGTTTTCTACCTTTATCCCTTAGGGGTTAAAACGTTATCGAGATCAAAAGTAACATACAAAAAGTTATCTAATTTTCATAAAACGTTGTTATTCTTTCGTCTAATATCATTATTCAATATTAAAAGTCCTTCAATATTTATACAAAAAACTGATATTTGTTGGGTCAGTTCTTTTGAAATAAGCCAAGAAATTATCGAACCAGATAAGCGGTAGTCATGTTTAAATTTCTTTCGGGTAACACTAGTTTTGTCTGGAGACTCTACCTTGTAATTTTATCCACAATTGAGTGAAAATAAATCTGTAATTATCTCCCTTTTGGGCTTAACACTTAATTTGAGGTCAAAAGATAGGAAAATAGTTATACTAGTGTTACATTACGTCATAACTATTTACTCCAACACTACATTTGACCTCTCCCAATGTTTTGAGAGGGATTTGAAGCAAATATTTGATAGATTAGTTTTTTGAATATGTGCTTAGTCAAAATATATCATCAAATCACCCAGTTTGCACGCGGGAAGGTATCTTTAAACTTCGTTATCAGTAATCACGGACTGTCCCTATGCTCTGTATATAGAAACAATCATTTTTTTGTCCGCTTTTGAAGCCTACATACAAAATGTCATTTACTACAGGAGTTTAAGTTTATTTGACGAGAAACCCGAGGTGAATTGATAAAACAAGCTAAGTTTAAAATCATTAAGTGACAATAACGACGTGCTACATAAGTTTAATCATCTTTAGATGACAGTTATAAAGCACTTGTTATTTATTGCTCAATTTGATGTCCAAAAAAACAGCTTCGGATTGAAATTGGCAGTATAGATCAGAAGTCAAGAGGAAGCTAATGAACAAAAAAAGTGTATGCAAAAACATAATAAAAACTAAATTAATTAATCAACACGACAAAGATGTGAGATTTCACTAACCCTGTTTTGCAAATAATAAACATCGCTTGATTTACTTAACTGGCTTTTATTTTGCCTATACAAATTTAAACATGCATCATTATATAATGCAAGAGCTAAATCTGCCTATTGTAAGTCTTTTTTTAGGCCTGAAATTTTGTCTAAATTATTTAGACATTAATTAACTTACCAAGACCATAATCAACTCTCGGAGTCATTGGAAGGCTGCGATATTTGGCGGATTCAAATACGTTTTGACCGTTTTGTGGTGGATGCGGTTATCGTAAAAATTGATAATCCAGACTTTGTTTATTATCGTAACAACAGTATTAATGACAATCGAGGCTATATAATCATATCGCCGATTCCCTGGCCCAGAGTGAAGTAATCTGACTGAAATTTTCAAAATATTTTCTTTTCATTATCTATTTTTTAAACTTTCACAGCGAGGGTCTGTAATAATATTGCTAGAATTTTTGCTCGAGAAATAACATATTCGCATAATATGTGATATGTACTTAAAATACTTAAATCAACTTAGTCTGTAATTGACAGTTGACACATAAAAAGAGCTATTTATCGAAAACATATGTCAATAATTTACCACCAGAATTACACGTGAGTGGAATTATTCTAATTGCATCATTTGGTTTAAAGTAACCAATCATAGCGTTAATTGCACAGGTTCAGGGCCATGAACACGCTTATTTCTGCGTGATAAACCTGGGTGCTATATAAGATATCTATTTGAACCTTTCAAGCAGACTTCTATTAGGTTCCAGAGAGCTTACATCTGAGTTCTTAGACAGCCGCGAGGCTGGCTAGGGTAGAGAAATGGTTTTAGCTAGTATTGTAATTTGTGCCATGCTTGTATACCTGTATTCAGCTATATATATATAAAATGTAGAAGCAAACTGTTGCATTGTTATTCTTGGTAAGACAAACGTCTTAAGAAAACCATTAAGAAGTAAATACACAACGTGAAGCAGAAGTAAAGACAGCTAGAGACAAATTCTAGACGATCACAAGGCTACGGAAATATGTAGTAAGAAAAGATGCATGGGTCGTACGTAAGATGTGGCGACCGGTTTCCTCGTCCGCTCTCCACGTCAGACAAAGGACTTATGGTGCTTACATATTTGATTTGGTGCCGTAACGCAGTTTCGAACTTTAGGGTAAGCAGCAAATTTGGAAGAAGAATACATATTCGATTTGGTGCACGTGACTACGAGATCGAGTAACCTGGAAGAAGATTAGAAGAAAAGAGAGTATGCATCACACGTTGGATGTTGGAGTTCTCCCGGCATATTTCCCACATCTAACCAGCGACTGCATAGCACTGCATAGTCTTACATATTCCATTTGGTTGCGTGACAGTTTCGACCTTTGGGGTAAGAAGTCACTTTAGAAGAAGAATACATATTTGAAGACGTTAAGCAGCAAATTTGGAAGAAGAATACATATTCGATTTGGTGCACGTGACTACGAGATCGAGTAACCTGGAAGAAGATTAGAAGAAAAGAGAGTATGCATCACACGTTGGATGTTGGAGTTCTCCCGGCATATTTCCCACATCTAACCAGCGACTGCATAGCACTGCATAGTCTTACATATTCCATTTGGTTGCCGTGACAGTTTCGACCTTTGGGGTAAGAAGTCACTTTAGAAGAAGAATACATATTTGAAGACGTTAAGAAGAAAACCTGTACAATCCAGCAACAGAAAAAGTCTGGTGGAAAAAATCTGGTGGAGATATTCGAAAAATTGGGTAAATACATTTTGTTTGGAAAATTAAATGTGTTAAATTTGTTTAAAGACCAAATAATATTAATTTAAAGTTAAAATCTGATAAGAAACTAAATATTTAAAATTTAACTGTATAGAGAATAAATTACAGTCATTCATAAGTTTTGATTAATAGGTATATTAAACAATATAATATCACTGGTTAGGTGTGTATATTGCCAGGTTAACATGACCAGTAGTAAATTTGAGTAAAATTAAAGTTAAAGTGAGGGTCTTTATGGAGTAGGTTTTAAAAAATAATAATGATAAGGAAACGGAATAGGGAATAAAGTAAGGAACTAATGTTGTCTCCGGGTCGCAGTAGAAAGACGGCAGATCTAAGGATGAAGTTTGTGAGTGATTAACTCTCGTTTCCAAGATGGCCGTGCTTTCTACTGTGATTCGTTAATTTGTGTTTTTTGTTGTTTCGTATACTATATAATTTTAAGGCCCTTAGTCCAGGCCTTAGAGTTGTTGTAATTTAACTTTTGATTAAAAAGTTAGGTTATGTTGAAAATCCATATGGTTCATCTAGGGATGTTGGTTGTAGTTTTCCTGGGAAAAAACTAAAATTAAAGGCTCGTTAAATTGTGAGATTATCGCAAAGTCATTAATACGAGTTTTATAGGAGGTTAAAGTTAAGAATACGACACTTTTTTAGAAAAGTGTAGGTATACGGTAGATTTTGTCCGTATATAATTTTATGTAATTAAATTTTTGCTTTAGAAACGTAATATTAACGTTTAATATATACTGCTAATTGCTTTAAGCTGTCGACATGTACGCAATGATTAGGAATGTGTTATTTGACATGAGGTCGAATTATAATAAACAATAGTATTCATACTGTGTTAAATTTGACGTGTGTAAAAGTCACGGATTGCATTAATATAATATATAGGATATAGTTAACTGTATGTGTTATTAAAAGTTAGGTATGTTCTAATTGTTTTGTTTATAGAATATGGACTGGTGTTCCGAGGGAGTGAAGTGCACGTCACTTGCTTTGAACATGATTCTAAATAATGTTTATATAATACTAATAATGGAATAGGTAACACGTGGCCTGTTTCATGTATTGGTTTTTTACTAACATACAAAATGGTGGATTATAATGATTAGGTCAAAAAGGTCACATTACTGACGGTGAAATATAAAATAACAATGTAGGAATTCTAAAACAGAAACGGAAATTATAAAACATAAACGCAATTATAAAATTGTCCATTACTGATCGAGTTAGGTCAGGAGGTCAAAATTAGTTTGAAATTTATAATTAAAGGGACACATCAAAGTTTATTAATACTTAAATAAAGTTAATTTTAATTAAGAGTAAGATTTACAAATAATTTTTCGAAATAATAATGTTAGATTAATATCAAAATAAAGTTTTAATAATTTAGGAATAGTTAGTTCTTGGTCTGAAGGCAATGACATGTTTGATTGACGGATAAAATTGTACAACCCAATCATACTTAGAAGAAAAATAGAAAGTTTCAATTTGATACTATGGTAGCTGGAACAGACCAATACAAATCCAAGAAGAAGAAATGGTTTATCAGTTTACCAAATTGAGATTTCCTGAGACAGAATTTAAAGTGAAACCTGAACTTTATAAATATTACGTGATGTGTTATAATGTTTTGAAATTAGGACACTTGGAGATTTAAAAAAGACAATTTGTGTTTTCTGTGTTTAGGCTTAGTGAATTTTCATAGGATTTTACAGTGATGAACTTTTTGGAGAACTTTTGCATGCAAATTTTAACTTTTGATTTTTGATTTTTGATTAT